TGAATTCAGAGAAATAGATAGAATCCAATATATCTAAATGATAACTAAATCGACCGTAAAAACAATAAAACATACTAAATATAACATATCTAAAATTATATATATAATTAAAGTAATATAGTATTATAATATAAATTAGACATACAAACTATAAATTAATTTAAAAATTAAAGTAAATATCAATCAATTATTATTGTATATTTATTTTATAAATATTCATGCCCGTGCATGAGCACGGGAAAATCACCTAGTTGATAAATTAGTTCAGAAGTAATAAGTAGTAAAATAGGGAAAATATTTGTAAGTATACCATTTTTAGTTAGTATTTAAAAGTGAAAATATTCGTTTTTAATAAACCAAGTACGAGTCCAAGTATTCATCATTCGAACAACAAGTCAAACCAAATACCAAATAAGCTAAAAATGTCAAGTATGGCTTGCGCCACCCCTAGTGATGGGTTAAGGTTCAATGAGTGTATCTTACTTGGGAGATTAAGATGAACATCATTCTCGGAACAGCTAAAGGGTCAATGTATTTAATTTACACGAAGGTCTTGAACCTAGAGTTGTTCACCGTGACATTAAGTCTAGTAATATCTTCCTTGACAAGCAATGGAATGCTAAAGTTTCAGACATTAGCTACGTGTCATTGGTACAGTTGGGTTGTTGCTCCTGAATACGCAAGTACATGGGATGTTGAATGAGAGGAGCTATGTTTATAGCTTTGGTGTTGTTGTTATCACAGCTTTTAGACGAACCAATTTCGATGCCACACAACCAAAATAGACCACCACACGATGCCACACAACCAAAATAGACCACCACACACATATCCTAACCGTTAACACCTTCAATAAAAAAAAACTTGAACCAAAGAACACCACTATAAGCACAACGGAACATATAACACAACAGTAGCATAGATGAATAACACACGCGAAGCACACAGACATATCACTACAAATTTGTCCGCACTACTTGCAGATATTTTACAATGTACAATAGAAATTATTATAAAGTTATTATCTTTATCTAATTTGATTCTCTGGATTCATCATTTTGAATTAGAATATATCTGTATAACAACAATATATCTATAAATATGGGAGATAATAAGTAATCTATTATTCAAAATTATCACTAGACTTAGAATTTTAAATCAATTACTTTCCATTTGCCTCATATTAAATATCCTTTTCGAAAGTTATTCCAGTATAAATGTTGTTTTACATGTTCATGCATATATTAAATACTTTCCATTTTTCATTATTTGTTTTCCATTTTTCATTATTAACAAAAATCAAATAAAATAATACATTACTAGATGATAACCCGCGCGCATGCGCGGAATGGGTGAAATTTTTATATTAATATTTATTCATTAAATGGTTTTTAACATTTTGCAATACTATAGTACTAGATTTTGATCCGCGCTTGAAAAGCACGGAAAAATTTTTATGATTAAAAATTTATATAATTGAATTTTGTTTTTAAGTATGTTTTGCTATAAAATCAGCAATCCAAAATTTGTGGTGGTAATCGTTTTGCATTAGTTTTTAGTTTCAGTTTTTATTTTTAGATTTGGTTTTAGATTTTGGTTTTTGGTTTTTAGTTTTTAGTTTTTAAGTTTTTATTTTTGATTTTCAGCTTTTGGTTTGGGTTTTTAGTTTTTAGATCCACTGAGTTAGTTTGAGCTGATATTACCAACAAACAAATCATAAATAATTGAACATCTAATTTAAAACTGAAAAGATGACAACTTTTAAAAAAAAAAATTACAATAGGTTATTTTGTAAATAAACAAAAGAAAAAAATATAACATGCGTTTTCAGCTTTTGGTTTCGAATTTTAGTTTTTAGATATGGTTTTTGGTTTTGCTTTACATTTAATTTTTTAAAAATTAGTAAATTATTTAAGAAAAATAAAACAATAAACTATTTAAAAGTTACCATTGAAATTTATCAAAACAAAGTGATTTTTATTTAAAATACAAAAATACATTAATATATTTTAAAGTCCATGATTTAAATAAGTGATTAATAATAGAAAATTTTGTTTTGTTAAAAATATTAATTACCTTTGCGCCTGAAAATAATAATTAATTTTTGATCCATTAAGGTGGAAAATTTATTCAATGTTTTTTGGAGTTTTCCCTTAATACTAAGCCCAAAAACCAAAGCATATAATTTGTCCTAAAAACAAAAGTAAGCCCAAAACTCTATCCCACAAATAACCATCGGTTTAATTTAGGTAATTCGGTTCAGTCAACTATATGGCTTATATTATTTGTAACACTCTAAAAAGAATCCAAATTTAATTGACAACTTGTATCAGTAGATAAAAAGAATGACTCTATTTTAATATAGTAGATTGTCAATAGATTAACTAAAGTTATGTAAGCGATGATATAATAAAGTAAGTTTTCATTTTATTTCATTGAACGGTTTACATAATTCTGCTATTATTAGAAAAGCATAAAGTCCATCATCATAATCTTTGCTTAGACAGTCATCGTAGCATTGATAAACTCCGTAAGTTTTGTTTACAAGGTTTATAGCAAATGTGAATCTGAGATGTCGTTGCCTCGACGCCTGCAACACATGTTCAACATATGTTAAAGGAAATCATATATGAAATAAATGATGCAGAGATATGGATATCAAGGAGATAAGGTGTGAGCTGTTTCTTCTCAATTAATCAACAGCATTAACCTAGACAATACGATTTCGGAGCTTTACGGTGTTGTTGCGTATATTTTAGCTAGGCATGGGCATTCGGGGTCCCATTCGGGTTTCGGTTTTGTTCAATCGGGTCTCGGTTTTTCGGGTTTATCAAAATCAGTCCCATTCAGATTATTTGAAAGTTCGGTTCGGGATCGGTTCGGGTTCTATCGGGTTCAGGTCGGGGTTAGTAAATCTTTAAAGAACTGGTACAACCCGTTATACTTTCGGATTCGGGTCCCAATCGGTTCTTTGGTTTAAAAATAATTGATTTGTAACTACTTTGTAACCAAAACATAAGTAAAATCGGTTCTTCGGATTTAAAGTGCCTAATGTGTAACTATTTTGTAACCAAAACATAAGTAAAATTGATTCAAAAATAAGAAAGGAACATCAAACTTATCATTCAAAATCAAATGATAGGTAAACATAGTTATTAATCGAAAGAAAACCAAATAAATGAAAGCATAAAACGAAAACCAAGTTTTTAAAAAATTAGAAACAATATTCAATAATAATAAAACCTTAATCTAAAAATTTCAGGTTTCAACCGCCACCTTCAACCATAACATTCATGTAATAGATAATTATTTTAGATTTTTAGTCATGTCTTAAAATATTTTGAATATATATTAGGAATTAAGATCATGTTCGATATACATTCTTATTAAAAAATTCGAATGTTTCGGATTCTATCGGATATCCATTTAATTTCGGGTTCGGTTCGGATAATACTCATAACCCGAAATACCATAAAACAAGATCTATTCGGTATTTAAATCGGGTTCGGATCGGTTCGGATTCATTTTTATCGGATCGGATTCGATTCGAGTTTTCGGGTTCGGTTTATTTGCCCAGCCCTAATTTTAGCTCCTGCTACTGAGTTTGAGAGCATTTATTTTCCTTGGATTCCTAGAGAATAAAACTCTGTCGCCCATAATTTGGCAAAAAAAACATAGTATCCTTGGTGTAAATGAGGTCTCCACCTAACCTGTTCTTGGTGTAAATGAGGTTGTTATAACCTCCACCTAACCGATATTAAATAACGTTGTGTGTAAAAAGAAAATAACCGGGTTGAAAATTAAGACAGCCCTCGACAAATAGTTATATATAAAGCTATTAGTAAAGATTTAGAACAGTGTAGACTTAAGACCTTCTCCTTTTTTTTTTTGAAAGAGACCTCTTCTTTCTTAGGGTCTTTCTTACAACAGAACTAACACTAAGAAATAATTCATGAACTAGATTTTGACCCGCGCTTGAAAGCGCAGAAATTTTTTAGGATTAAAATTTTATATAATTTGGTTTTGTCTTAATTTAAAGAATGTTTTGGTATAAAATCAGTTCACCAAAATTTGTGGTGATGGTTGTTTTTCATTAGTTTTTAGTTTCAGTTTTTATTTTTAGATTTTGTTTTAGATTTTGGTTTTTGGTTTTTAGTTTTTAAGTTTCTACTTTTGATTTTCAGCTTTTGGTTTGTGTTTTTAATTTTTAGATCCGTTGAGTTAGTTTGAACTGATATTACCAACAAACAAATCCTAAATAATCGAACATCTAATTTAAAACTGAAAAGACGACAAAAAAATTTGCAATAGTTTATTTTGTAGATAAACAAAAGCAAAAAAAAAATATAACTTGTGTTATCATCTTTTGGTTTTTAGATTTGGTTTTTGGTTTTTGGTTTTCCTTTACATTTTTTTTTAAATCAGTAAATTATTTAAGAAAATAAAACAATAAATTATTTAAAAGTTACCATTGGAATTTATCAAAATAAAGTGATTGTTATTTAAAATAAAAAATACATTAACATGTTTTAAAGTACATGATTTAAATAAATGATTAATAATAGATATTTTTTTTTGTTAAAAATATTAAATACCTTTTGGGCCTAAAAATAATAATTGATTTTTTTGATCTATTAAGGTGGAAAGTTTATTCAATGTTTTTGGAGTTTTTCCTTAGTACTAAGCCCAAAAACCAAACTATATAATTTGTTCTAAAAAGAAAAGTAAACCCAATACTATATCCCTTAAATAACCATCGTTTTAATTTAAGTAATGCGATTTAATTAATTATATGGTTTGTGTTACATATTTGTAACACTCTAGAAAGGGTCCAACTTTAATGACAATTTGTATCAGTAGATAAAAAGAATGACTCTATTTTAATAGAGTAGATATCACAAAAACTTATGTGACTTTTTTTCTTGTAGTGACATTGGCAAATTCATTGTCCTACTCCGACGTATTGGCTTCATCGGGTATGATCTATTTGTATTCTAAAGATGAGTGTTTATTATATATAATTTATAGGAAAAAAAAACATTTTGTAAAACCGATTTAGATCATATGAGTATCTGTTTTTTTTTTCTATTTCCTTCAGAATTACAAGATTATGCTCTTCGTAAATCACATTACATTCTCAACTAAACAGTTGGTTTACCATTTCCACCATTATTTGTTTTTCTTTAACATAAGCTGAACATGTGTTGCAGGCGTCGAGGCAACGAATTCTGAGGTGTGCTCTACACCGTGTTCACCAAGGTACGGAACGTTTGAATGCTTCCATGACTGTTTCCTCGAAGATTTCAAAGATGGAAATTGTGTTAATGGACGTTGTTGTTGCACAAAATGATAAAATGCCAGTCACCTTTCTTGTAAACTGGCAACTTGAGAGCTTATCTATGCTTTGCTAATATCAGATTTACATATATTTTGTTCAATGAAATAATATTTTGTTCCTGAATCAAGATGACGAACACATGTGCTTGTCTCTCATTCACTCTTGTTTAGCATTCTAAGTTCAATAATTATCAACAAACAATACTTAATTAATTAACATATTTTCAGTTAATATTTATTAAAAATTTACAAAGCAAAAAATACATAAACCTGAATCGTCCCTCATCTGATCTTCATGGTTCATCATATGGAAGTATCATGTTCTGATGTTTAGTGCTGCCGTAATGTCCATCATTGGTAACTAATATGTATACATAAAAAAAAGCTAAAGCAATGAGGAAGACATATGTACTGAAATAACTGATATTGTTATTGGGAGAGTTGATCTTCATAATAAGAGGTAATTAAATTTAGTAGACCATAATAAGATAGGTTATAGAGATAGTGTAGACAAACAAAAAAATATTAAATTGTTACAGAAAATAATTCTCACAATATTAAAAGTTTATTGACCCAACATATATTCTAATATATTTATGACCAATTACTAATGCATGCATGTCTAGCCATGATCAAAAAAAAATCTAACATTAAATTGTAGTAACTGTAATATTTTAGTCAAATATAAATATGGCTAGTTAGTATTATTATAGTAGTTGTAATATATTTTCCATCTTATTAAAAAATGGAAATCTCTATTCGATTCTTGACTTTTCCTTTGGTCATGTGTAGAATTCTAAGATTTCTGAGCTTTTTTGTTGCTGAACATATCTCTTAATAAATAAAAAAATTGTAGAATCGAAGACTACTTTTGACCAAGACGCATATAAATAAGAAAATATATCATCCTAAGGCAGATTTAAGTTTTTATTATCACAATAAGACAGTTGTTGCTATTAGGGTAGTTTTATTTAACTAAACCCACTTCTCTTGTTACAAACAAACTAAAATTACTTAACTAACTAAAGTGGCCCTACTAAGAAAACAAAACACTACTCTCTACGGAAGTTGTGTTCTCGCACCAAACCAAAAACAATAATTTTCTTTTGTTCTTCTTTCTATCCATCTAAATTCTACCAATATATGTGTTAAAGCTGTGTCATAACTGTCGTGTTCTTCTTTCACGTTTCTGTTTTCTTTTTTTATAGATTTGTTCAAATCAAGAGATTAAATTCCATTATCTTGAAAGGTTGATGTTTGGCGAAGAAGGGCTATGGTGTTTTGTTTATAATCTGTTAAACTCGAAAATTAAGAAAAAAAAACTTTTTTCGCTTGGTTTTTAGATCTAATAGTATTATTAGAACAATATTTTTTAAGTTCTAGAGCTAAAAACACAAAAAGATGAAGATTGCATGAAAAAAATCAATGGCGGCTGTGAGATTTAGTTGCAAAAACGCAGGATACCCTAATAGGAAGAAGATATAATTACGAAATTGCCACTCATTAAAAAAAATGTGTACACTTATATGTGTACATGTGTACACTCGTTATTATTAAAACAATGTACACTCTTCGTATGTGTACACTGTGTACATATACATGGATCTCCTATTAAACAAAACTCAATCATGTATATGTACATATTTCTTGGTAAACTAGTATTACTCTAACTTGGGAAACCTACATATTTCATGTATACATATATGAAGATAGTGAAATTATATGACGTTCATATATTATTGTACAATTTAATATGTGTACATGCGAATCATTGTACATGTGTATAATAAAACATTTGTGTACAATGGTGAATCGTTATTCGGTGGTGAATAGCTTGAGTTAGGTTGAATAGGAGATCCATGGTGATTTCAGACGCTCATGGAGGAAAGAATGACAGAGGTTTACGAGTCACTTGTTTTTTTTTATCAATTTGTTCTTATATACGAAATTGACAGGTGTAAATATGAACTTTTGTACATGTGGATAGTACATTATGTGTACACATTGTTAATACTCTAAGTTCAACCAGGTTCAATCATGTATATGTACATATTTATTGGTAAACTGATACTACTCTAAGTTGCTACATGTATCATGTATATGTATATGCAAAGAGGTACACATGTTCGGTTTGTACACATGTAATCTTGTACACATGTACATATATAATCATGTTGTTTAATTAACATAAACCACGCTCCATGTCTATACCTACAAAGACAAATTTATTTCTTTAACATGTACATGTGTACACTAAAATTATGTACACATCTTCGTGGTCATCCTATGTACTCGTGTATTAATGTACACATCCACGTGATCATCCAATTATTTTTAATGAGTGGCATATTCGTAATTTTAACTTCATCTTCCCAAAATCAATTAGGGTTTTCTGCAATTTCTCTCTATGGCCGCCAGTCATTATTCTCACATGAATCATCAGTTTTCTTCATATTTGTTGTTTATTATACCTTTAAACCTGTAAAATATCATATAAGAGACTATTCTAAGTTCAAGATTACTCTGTTTCTACAACAAAAACGTAAATTTTGCTTCTTTTTTCTACTACTGTCACAACGTGAGGCGGATGAGTTGAAGAGCACGGTGTGGAGGAAGAAGCTTGGTCGTGTTGATTCATGGCGAAGAAACAAAAAAATCGCAATTGTGTTCTTCATTTTGTTTTCCAGATTTTTTCTTGGGATTTTTCAAAATTGTTCATTTTGTTCTTCATCATTTTATTCAGATTACGATCTATGAGTTTTCTCATTTTGTAACTTTTAAAATTGTTCCTGTGATAGAGAACGAGAAAAAATGAGATTAATTATAGGATTCATTTAGTTACTCTTTAGTTGTTTATAGTTATAAAAAACTACCTTAGGAGCAATAACTGCTCTATTTTGTAATAAAAAACTTGAAACTGCCCTATGATGAAAATAACTCTATAAATAAAGCATTTCGACTTCTTTTGTTTCCCACAACAAAATTGACAGAAAGGAAATAATGAATATGGGACAAACTTTTGTGATGTTTTTTCTTGTAGTAGTACTAGCAACGTCGTCGTTGTCCAACTCCAACGTTTTAGCGTCACGAGGTATGTTGTAAATTGTTCATTGTTCATTGTTCATCTATCGTTTGACCATTTTTAAAATACTTTTTTTTGAATGCCACAAAAACTTTACTGATATTTTTGTTTCTATGACGTTGGCAGATCCATTGTCCAATTCCACCGTACTTGCTTCACCGGGTATGTTTTAGCTGTATAATATATTTGGCCATTCTATCGATAAGTGTTGGTTTACATATAATACTTAGAGAAAAAAAAAAGTAAAACCAATTAATTAGTTGCATATGGGTACGCTTAAGTCTATATATATACTATTAAAATAGAGGTTATGATTTTTTTATGTGTGATTTTTTAATTTGGATTATCTTTAGAAAGTTTATATATTTTTACATAAATTAAACATAATATCTTTTAATATTTTTTATTTTATTTGAATTTAATATCTTTATTTTATTTGAAATAAAAATATTTTTAAGAAAATTCTTAAAATCTTTTTAAAACAGATTTCCTAGAATTAGTAAATTTATATTTATATTATCATAAATAAAATTAGAAATTAAAATTTACTTAATTTTTATTTCTAAAGGAAAATTAAAATTTTATAAATATTTACAAGATTTGTTAGCAAGAAATATTCATTTCTAAAACCCATAATCCCCAAAAAATAAAATATGAGATTTTTAATAATATCTCAAAAAATCATGTAGGTCCAATTTAATTTAATTTTTCATATATTTCATATTTAAAAATAAAAAAAAAAGTTATGTAAAATAATACTTTTATATAATAATGTTTTTAGATGAAAGTTTTACAAAATATAAATTTATAAATTTTTATAGTAATATATTATTTGACACACAAACACTATTATAAAACTAGATAATATATAACATAAAATATATTTACTTATAAATTTTCTTATTTAAATAAGAAAACTATAGTGTAAAAAGAAAATCATCACGGCTATCTGAATCAAAATCTAATTTCCTTTAAAATTACAAAAGTATGATCATCGTATATCATATTACATTCTCAACTAAAGATTTGGGAAAAGCTCTTTCTCAAAAAAAAAAAAAAAAAAAATGGTTTCCCATTTCCCATAAAAAAAAATTTTGAATTCATTTATTTCATATTTAATTTCCTTTAACATAAGTTGAACATGTGTTGCAGGCGTCGAGGCAACGCCATCTCAGGTTCACATTTGCTATAAACCTTGTAACAAAACTTACGGAGTTGATCAATGCTACGATGACTGTCTAAGCAAAGAGTATGATGATGGAAATTGTGAGTATAATGGACTTTGTTGCTGCACATAATGATAAAAAGTCGTCACCTTTATAGTAAACTGGCAATTTGAGCGTTTGCGTTATGCTCTTTTTATATGAAAAGGTTATGCTTTTCTAATAGCAGACTTATGTAAACCGTTAAATGAAATACAACTTAATTTTATTATATCATCGCTTACATAACTTTAGTTATTTCTATTGAAAATTATATTTTATAACCAAACTAGTACTTGTTAAACTTTGTTCCATGCAAATACCAAAAAAAGAGCATTTACTTGTGTAATTGTTAATGAACTTAAGCAGAATCCTCTAATTCAAAACAAAAATAATACAGTTTTAGCTTTGATCCCAAGTGATAGCAGGTACATGTTTATGATTGGTTACACTTTATGAATCTGTCTCAGCAAAAGTGATATGATTATTTCGTAAACGGATCATCTAGAATATCTGTCTCCAGTTGCTAGTCGATTGTGAGTAGCCAGGCAAGCCAAGCTATCACGGTAAACTGCTCTGATTTATATGGCATAAGTGGATGTGACTTCACATTTTCTTGGTTCTGGTTCAAAATTGTACAAGGTGAAAAGGAGAGCAGTTTTCGTAGCATATCACTGGTCAACATGTTTCTTACTTGTATTTCTCGTGAAGAACATTATGCCATATAGCCTTCTTGTGATGACCCACATTTAGAGAGCCAGTCGTTATCCCTTTAAATATTCTCCAATCAAATAGCTAACGTATAGCAACTCCACCTAGGAAGGAGGATCACAAGGTTTTTCACAAAGTGATAGATTTGTTACTTATTGTGATATTGTTTTTGGCTGATGCTACTTTTTGTTATGGACTGAGTCACGTGCTTTTGTTAGTGTCCAACATGTCTTTAGTAAAAAAAAGAATGGAAATAAGAGGAATAATGTCAAAAGTACAAGGCTCACATATAAACATAGATTTTTTGTCTTGCAAATGAAACAAAGATGCAACAGTTTAATAGAAAAGGTCTTACAAAAGAGGCAAAGAAAAGTTTAATAGAAACAATCGGAAACAGTCTTGAGACAAAGATACAATAGCTTAAGAGATGAGATAGCAATTGTAATTACAACCAACATTAAAAAAAAAAAAGAAAAAAGAATCCACAATATGTCTTAGTGATGAGTTTCCACAACACACTTCGACGGGAAACCTCTAGTTCCGAAATTAAGTTTTCCCAACGGAATTAAACTCATCTCTTTTCACATGTAATAAGACTAAGAGATGAAACCAAGTCACATAAAGACGAAAGGATACTAAATCGGGATGCAGAGAAGAGTAAACAGAGATTTAACAACAAAAATAGTTGACCCAAAGTGTATATTTTATGGTTCGGTCAAAACAGTTGTCAAAGTTTACGATTTAAGTTACCGTAGACTTTTCAAAGAAAAAAAAGGTGTAGACTTTTTTCTATTTTTTTTGTGTGAAAGAGACTTATTCTTTTACATCAGAACCAACAACAGTAAGAAGCACCAAATTTTAGCAAACAAAAAAAACAGTAAAAAAGAAATCATGAATACCACAAAAACTTGTGATTTTTTTTCTCTTGTAGTGATATTGGCGATTCCATTGTCCAATTCTAACGTACTGGCTTCACCGGGTATGATTTAGTTGTATAATATTTTTGTTCATTCTAAATTATGGAAAATTGATCATAACCAAATATTAATACACTAGGTTAGGACCCACGCATGAATATTTTTTATATATATTATTTTTACGTATTATATGTTTTTTACATATTATAAAATAATAAATATATATTGATAATTAAAAATTTAGTAATTATTACGTATATAATTAAATTGGTATAAACATATAAATATTTTTTATTAATTTAAAGATATTTTTTTTCTATTTTATATGGTATACAATTAAGTTTAAATGTATTATCGTAGAAATATAATACATTTTAATATTGATATCGGTTAAATTATAATTTATACTCATATTATTTTTTTGTTCATTCTTATATTTTTATAACAAAAATTTTAAAACACTTTTTTTTGGTCAAAACAAAAATTTTAAATCACTAATAACAATTCTTTTTGTGTTGGATGTTTATCATTTTTTAGTAATTTATAATTTTAAAACATTATGCAAAGTTTAAAACTATATATTAAGTTTTCAATATTTGTTCAAAATTTTTATCAAAAAAAATCAAAGCAACGTATAATTAAGATACATATATATTTTTATATGGTACATAATTTATTTTGAACAATATATATATATATATATTAATGAGACTTTTTACTTATATAATTTTTTAATCATTTCTATTTTGCTATTAAATTTAACCATGGATCACAAAAATTTTAATGTGAGATTTTTTAACAACTTTAGTCATTTATAGTCGTTTTAAAAAATTCAAAGTATAGCTTATACGAATAAATCTAAATTTTATTATATAGTTAATATAGTTGTTTAATTTATTTTAATAAGTTAAAATTTTAAGGTTACATTAATTTTTATCAAATCTTTATTATTAAAAATCATTAACTGTCATATTCTTTAACCATATTTGCCAATTCCGTTACTTTTATTTAAGAAAACAATGAAAAATATTATTTTCTATTTTATATGATATACAATTAATTTTAAATGATATTATCGTAGAAATATAATACATTTTTAATATTGATATTGGTTAAATTATAGTTTATACTCATATTATTTTTTGTTCATTTTTATATTTTTATAAGAAAAATTTTAAATCACTGATAACAATTTTTTTTGCGTGGGATGTTTATCATTTTTTAGTAATTTATAATTTTTAAAAATATGCAAAGTTTAAAACTAAATATTAAGTTGTCAATATTTTATTCAAATTTTTATAAAAAAAAATCAAAGCAAATTAGAAATTAAAATACACATATATATTTTTTATATGCTACATAATTTATTTTGAATAATATTTATATATATATATATTAAATGAGACATTTTTACTTACATAATTTTGTAATCCTTTCTATTTTGTTATAAAAATTTAACCATGGATCACAAAAATTTTAGTGTGAGATTTTTTAACAACTTTAGTCATTTATAGTCGTTTTAAAAAATTCAAAGTATAGCATATGCCTCAAAAAACTAAATTTTTATTATATAATTAATAAGGTTGTTTAATTTATTTTAATAAGTTAAAATTTAAAAGTTACACTAATTTTTATCAAATCTTTATTATTGAAAATCATTAAATGTCATATATTCTTTAATCATATTTGGCAATTCCGTTATTTTTTATTTAAGGAAATAATGAAAAAAATTAATAAGTCATTTATGATTAGTTTAATAAAAAGCTTATTATATATTTAGATGGACCAAAATATTTTTCTAAGGATTCTAAGAATGATGTGGTGATGACAGGTGGCTACAAAACAATATTGTAATGCTTCTCCTTTAATATATAGGAGATTTATCGATTATAAAATGATGAATACAAATGTTGGTATCTTAAATCATCATAGGTCTGGACATTTGAGACTGCATCGGTTTTAGTTTGATTGACATGTATTTTTAGATTTTGGTATTATTCTCATAAACCTTAGTTGAATTTTACTAATTATCGGATTGGATTCGATTTGATCTTCTCAATTCAGTTTGGATTGGATTGTAGCCAATATCTGAAATCATCCCAAAAAATATTTGTTAAACATTAAAAGTTGACAAAAAAATCAAAATATTGAAACTATTAATAAATCTAATTTAAAATTAGTTAAATTATCTAAACAAACTAAAAGATATTAAAAAAAGAAACAAATAAAAAAAACTACAAAAATCTTTCGAATACTATAATTTGTATCTACTAACCTCAAACCTTTTCACTGAAATTTTTAAATTAAAATATTTATAGTATGAATATCTACTAATGATACTTCATATTCGTACAATTTATGATAATTTGTATCTTCTTTGGAAAAAACCAAGTTAAACCATTGATCATAAAACTTTCAATGTGGGATTTTACTATTTTTAGTTATTTATGGTGATTTAAAAAAATTAAAAATATAACCTATAAGAAAAAAATATTTTTTTATTATTTATTTAAATGTAATTATTTAATTTATTTTAATAATTTAAAATTTAAAAAAAAGAGAGAGGATACAAAAATATGTGTTATTCATAATCATTAATTACATATATATGTTAATCATATTAGGTAATTCCGTAGCTTTTATTTAAGGAAATAAAATATATTGTTTTATACCTAGCATTGTTGGTCCTTTAAAAAATGTCTATATATATTATAGTCCTAAATGCAAGAAATTAAATGTTATATTATTTCATTCCTAGCAAAGTTGGTCCATTAAAAAATTAAAGCTGAAAAGCTCTGTGAGCTTGACACGTAAGCATGCTCTCCAAGGTTGTGCATTTATTAATGCTTCATGATTAATATATCTTATACAATAAAGTTAAGTTTTCTCCCTTCTTATGGTGTCCAACTCAGCATCATAGGGTGGGGCAAAAAAAGCCACGTCAGCAGTTAACCCAAGTATTCACTCTTAATTCAATCGCGTCCCGTCCGGTTTTCTTTTTCAATTCCGTATTGGTATGTTTTATAGTATGTTGGGCTTTGCTGTTTTTTTTACAATATTTAAAGGCCCAACATTAAACCAAGATACTCTTCAGACTTCATCGTGTATTTGTCCGGTTGTCTTAATTAAATCACGGTTTGAACCGGTTGTATATTTTCTTGGGCTGGGCTGATTTTGTAATCTTATTGAAAGGTCCAAAAATATTTCCGGTCTTTGCTTCTTCTTCATTCCCTCTTCGATCGACTTATCGCTTGAGCTCAGGAAACACAAACCACGATCTCAACACTGTACGCCTCAGCCTCGCATTAATATGTAATTAACTCTGAGCTTTTACATTATTATCACACTGGGACACATTTAGTTCATCTCTTCGCCTACCACACAAACCAGCAAGTGTTCGATTATAAATATCACACCCTCCAACGATGGACAATGCAACTCAAACAACATCCAGAAGAAAACTTTGTTCTAACTACCGATTCCTGACATGGCGACCTCCTACACTCTCCTCGCTGATTTGAAGGCCGGTCTTTGCTCTGACATGGGGGAGGTGCGACTACTCCATTTTTGGGAGGCCAGAAATAGCAACAGAGCCGGGGAACTAACAACTGTTGACATGTTTCTGATTGATGAGAATGTAAGAACCTCTGATTCTGGTTAACCCTCTCGACAATACATTCATTCCGATTTCTATTGTAGAGAAAATGAGAGGAAAAGGTTTTAGATTTATAAGAGCCACCGTTGACTCTCATTGATTTAATTCTATCGGAACCTCCCCGATCATAGTCGCAGATTGTGGGCACAATACATCCACATGCGGCTACTCTAAATCTCCTACCCGCTCCAGTATCTTTAATGGTTTGTTCCCTATCCATTCAATTTGCGTTTTTGATCGATTCGTTGAGCATCACTGATACAATGATGATATGATTAATAAAGATGCGACCTTTGCGTATGTTTCTAGCTTATTCATTGATAACTAACTTCTTAGTGACTGTGTCTTTATCTCCGATACAAGTTTGTGGGCAGAGAGACTCACTGTTAATGATTACCAAGTTTAGTTGCATCCATCTTGAGATTCATAGGTTTGATATGTGTAGATAAAAATTTTGAATTTGAAATAAAGTTCTGATTTAGCTTTGAATTCATTTTGATTAGTGCTTTCTGTAGTGTCAAATTCTTCCTTCAAGTATGCGAATCCATTTATCGTTACGGAAACCTAAGAGAAAAGGGTTTCGCTTTTAACCTAAGAGAAACCAATTATCATATATCTTGTGTCAAAGATACAAGTGTGATATTATGTTTTGGTTTGCTTATAACAGCAGCCATACTTTCTTTAGTAAGCTCTTTTTATCAACTGTTGTGAATAATCTGAAGTCAGTACATACTAGAGAAAAGTTG